GTTCGATTCCCCAGCACCACATAAGCAAAAAGAAAAAAAGCTGGAAGTGGTGCTGTGGCTCAAGTGGTAGAGTGCTAGCCTTGAGCTGAAGAGCTAAAGGACAGCGCCCAGGCCCAGAGTTCAGGCCCTTATGACCGGACCCCTACTCCTCCCCTCCCCCCCCAAAAGGAAGATCTCAGCCTCCTGAGTAGCTAGGATTACAGGCGTGAGCCACCAGCACCCGGCTGTCCTTTTATTTTTTGTATTAGCTTACATTAGTTATAGTCCTACATTAGACTTTTCCATTCTGTCCTCTCTTCCTGAAGTGGAAGGCAAGGACAAAGGTGGTCTATGGGAGGGACTCGGGTAGAGGTGTCCAGGCTGGCATCCAGCAGCCTCCCTCAGAACTCACACAGTGGCCTGGCTCTGAAGGATGTGGAGAAGGGGGCTGAACACTGGACATGGGAATGGGAGTCAAAGCGGGTTCTGGGAAGGCAACCCATTTGTGAAGGCTGATGGGGTGGGCCCCAGGCCAGACCTTCCCAGGGGCAAGCTCAGTGATTCCATAAGAAGCCTGAGCAGTGAGTGGGGCGAGCCACCAGTATCTTCTCAGCAACATTTGACATTTGCCACACATGGGGAATGAACGAGGTGACAGAGAGCAGAAAGCTGGGCTTCCCTCCTGACTCCTCACACCAGGAGCAAGGCTGCCCCACTTGCATGCCGGAGTTGGCTCCTCTGCCTGGAGAAGACACTAACTCCTTCCTCACTGGATTGTTACATGGATTAAACCAAGTAAAATATGGAGCAGGCTGCTACTTGTAGACTGGAGCTAAAAACTGCCTTTGTTTTCTATTTTCTGAGGTGCTGGGGATTGAGGCCAAGATTGAGTTTCACCCCTACCTTGATAACTGCTAAAATCTGATGTTCCATTCTTTTTCTTTTTTATCGGTCATGGGGCCTGAACTCTGGGCCTGGGTGCTGTCCCTCAGCTCTTCAGTTCAAGGCGAGCACTCTACTACTTGAGCCATAGCGCTACTTCCGGCATTTTCTGCTTATGTGGTGCTGGGGAATCGAACCCAGGGCCTCATGCATGCAAGGCAACACTCTACCCCTGAGCCACCTTCCCAGCCCCTGATCTTCCATTCTTTGATGACAACTCTTTCCAGGCTCCAGGTTCCTCGTGACTCAGTACAGAGGGCAAATGCTAAGAAGCCTGCATATTCCCTGCCATCACACACAGCAGGTTCAGAAAACAGGCAAGTTCGCATGGTGGCTGGCTTATGTCAGTAATCCCTACACTTAGAAACTGGACACAGGAGATGATGAGTTCAAAGTCTAGGTACTGTGAGCTCTCAAAAGAACATTGCAAAGAAAACTCAGGGAGAAGGACAAAAGACAATCCCATCTGAACCAAGACGGGGACTATATGAGAATATAAATACATACTATAATTTCATAATCGATGAGCTATTTACAACTTCATAGAGTTGGGAAAGTATTGACTTACTAACACAATGAGTTAAACTTTTTTTTGTTCAGTTGTGGGGCTTGAACTCTGGGCCTGGGCACTCTCCCTGAGCTCATTAGCTCAAGGCTAGTGCTCTACCACTTTAAGCCACAGTACCACTTCTGGTTTTTGAGTGGTTAACTGTTGATAAGAGTCTCATGGCCGGGCGCTGGTGGCTCACGCCTGTAATCCTAGCTACTCAGGAGGCTGAGATGTGAGGATCGAGGTTCAAAGCCAGCCTGGGCAGGAGAGACCGGGCAGGAGAGACCGTGAGACTCCTATCTCCAATAAACCACCAGAAAACCGGAAGTGGCGCTGTAGCTCAAGTGGTAGAGCGCTTGCCTTGAGCTGAAGAGCTGAGGGACAGCGCCCAGGCCCAGAGTTCAAGTCCCACGACCGACAAAAAAAAAAGTCTCATGGACTTTCCTGCCCGGGCTAGCTTTGAAAAGATCCTCAAATCTCAGCCTCCTGAGTAACTAGGATTACAGATGTGAGCCACCAGTACCCAGCTGACTTACATAAACTTTGAAAAGAAAATACTGCCTTAAGTTCACATGAAAACTTTCTACAAGCAGTTCAAAGAATTTCAAAAAGTAAGTTTATACTTATATTATTTTTATAGAATAGAAAGGAGGATAGGGACATTCCCTTACATACACCAAATAATATTTAACGAAGTGATAAAACATCCAAATAGCCAGGTGCCAGTAACTCACACCTGTAATCTTAGCTACCAGGGAGGCTGAGATCTGAGGATTCCAGTTCAAAGCCAGCCCTGGCCTAGTTACTCACGAGCCCAAGATCTGAGGATCTCAAGACAGGAAAGTCTGTAATATTCTTATTTCCAATTAACCATCAAAAAGCTGGTAGTAGAGCTGTGGCTCAACTTGTAGAGCGCTAGTCTGGAGCAAAAGAGCTCAAGACAGGGCCAAGACCCTGAGTTTAAGCCTCAGGATGAGCACAAAACATAAAACAAAGAATCCTTACCCAAAGTCAGGACTCAACATATATTTTTCTATTCCCCAACCTAAAGGTGTTGGAGTAGATTGAATGTCTTCTGCATCCAACCCACTGAAAAACATTTTCAGTGCCATTTTAGTATATGAAGCTCAGACAAGTCACATTAGAAATACTCAAAGGCATTTTTGCTCATTCTTCTCCAAACATTTCAGTGCCCAAATCTCCAAGTTCAAGGTTACTACCTCATCTCGATACCCACCAGCCTTCATGTGACACCCAAGACAACTGCTCAACCATAAACATACTAGACTTCTAGCCTACTGTGAGATCTGTTCTGAATGGCTATGCGCTACTGAAGGATTCAGTTACAACATAATCCATAGCAACTTTCTCTTTTCCTTTCTGCTAAAGAAGAAACTTCCTTCTTCATCATCACATTGTGACAACAAAAATGTATTGAAAAATATATATATATATGGGCTGGGAAGGTGGCTCAGTGGTAGAGCGCTTGCCTTGCATGCATAGGCCCTGGGTTTGATTCCTCAGCACCACATAAGCAAAAAGAAAAAAGCCAGAAGTGGCGCTGTGGCTCAAGTGGTAGAGCGCTAGCCTTGAGCTGAAGAGCTGAGGGAAAGTGCCCAGGCCCAGAGTTCAGGCCCCACGACCAGACTAAAAAACAAAACAAAACAAACAAAAAAAATGTATTGAAAGAATAGAGAAGCCGGATACTGGCTCACTCCTGTAATCCTAGCTACTCAGAAGGCTGAGATCTGAGGATCATAGTTCAAAACCAGCCCAGGCAGAAAAGTCCATGAAACTCTGCTCTCCAATCAAGCAGCAAAAAGTCTGTGGCTCAAGTGGTAGAGCACTAGTCTTGAGGGGGAAAAAAAAAAAAACCTCAGGGATAGTACCAAGGCCATTAGTTCAAGCCCCAGGACTGGAGGGAAAAACAATCTACTTTCTAGACACTGCAGCTGAGATGGAAGACCGTATATGAAACTCTTCTCAAGCCCAAGGAATTGTCAGTTGCACAGATGCCTTATTAATCAAGAGATTTAGCCTTGGATCAGGGTAGCTTAGAGCCCAAACAGAGTGAAGGGTCTAGGCTCTCACCTCAGGTATCAGCCGCCTCCTCTTCACGCTGGGCACCGCGTCTGGATGACCATCACTGCCCAGTTGCCTTCTCTTGCTGGAGTCATGGAGGGCAATGAAGACACTGTCCAGAGGGTTTTTCTCAGAAATCCTGGAATTCAATGAGCAGTCCAATGCTGCATCTTCAGCCTCTGTTTCCACCTTCACAATGTTATTTTTTAAAACTGTAACAGAGACAAAATAGAGCTGAGCAGGAGAGTCAGGCCCACCTGGAAAACCAGGGTTCCCTGAGCAACTAGGGCTGCCCTAATCACTAAATAATCCTGTGCTTTCCAATGATGTGATCTTTATCTTATGACACTAGTGCTGCTAGTGTCATTCAGAATGAGTTCTGAATGTCTCTTTTGGAGAGACATGATAAGGTAAATAATTAAGTATTTCCTAGTTTCTCAGAAAACTGAGATCTGGAGGATCACTGTTCCAAACTAGTCTAGGCAGAAAAGCCCACAATGCTCCATCTCTAAGATATCCAGCAAAAAGCTGGCTAGGTGGTATAGTACAGCTAAGCAAAGTGTGAGGCCCTGAGTTCAAACCCCAGTAAGATCATAAAGAAGCAAGTAACTCTGAAAAAATACATATGATGTGCTGGGTGCCAGTGGCTCACACCTGTAATCCTAGCTACTCAGGAGGATGAGATCTAAAGATCACGGTTAGAAGCCAGCTTGGGCAGAAAAGTTCCTAGTGAGACTCTTATCTCCAATTAACCACTTAAAAACCAGAAGTGGTACTGTGGCTCAAGTGGAAGAGTGCTAGCGATGAGCACAAAGAGGCTCAGGGACAGTGCTCAGCCCCTGAGTTCAAGCCCCACAACTGAAATACATATGATGCTTTTAACAAGAACAAAAAAAGTTCAACTGCAACTTAAGAAAAAAAAAGCTGGCTGGGAATGTAGCTTAGTGGTAGAATGCTTGCCTAGCACGAAGCCTGGGTTTGACTCCTCAGTACCACATAAATAGAAAAAGCCAGAAGCACTGTGGCTCAAATGGTAGAACGCCAGCTTGAGCACAAAGAGGCTCAGGGATAGAGCCCAGGCCCTAAGTTCAAGCCCTAAAACCAGCAAAACAGCGATGTCCCTGGGCTTCATTTGCTTAAGGCTAGTATTCTACCACTTGAGCCACAGTGCTACTTCCTGTTTTTTCCGTGATTAACTGGAGATGAGTCTCATGGACTTTCCTGCCTGGGCTGGCTTTGAACCATGGTCCTTAGATTCCAGCCTCCTGAGTAGCTAGGATTATAAGCATCAGCCACCGGCACCTGGCTGGGGAAAGGACTTTTCATCATATAACTTTAAAATATTTTGAACTGTGTGACTGTGACCTATTCAAAAATATTAAAAATATAGTTTACCTTCATCTACATCTTCACTGAAATCAGTTGAGTTCATCTTCTATTCCACTATGAAAAGATAAAGACAAAGTTTTTGTTTATTGCATGAATTATTTAATGTTCTCAACATTCCCTAAGCCCAGCCTGGCATGGAGCTTCGAAGCAAAGGTAAAAGGTGATGAGCAACAGCATGGTGGAGGGACAGGCCCTCATGTCTTACACAGACTCAGGAGCCACGCTGGGCCCCTTCCCCCGAGAATCTACAAGACTTCTCATGACTCAGAATATGGCCAGCCCAAGTGGAGATGTGCTGTGAGAGGAAAACACACCAGATTCAGACCTAGCAAGGCAAGGCAGCTCTGTGAGAAATGTTCTAGATTAATCACACATGAATATTATATCCTTTAGGACTTACTGGGGTACATAAAATGCTTCATTAAAATTAATAGAAATTTCAAATGTGGCCTGGGGTGCTTACACCTATAATCCTAGCTACTCAGGAGCCTGAAACCTGGAAGACTACAGTTTGAGGCCAACCTGGGCACAATGTTTTCAGGATCCCAGTGCAACAGAAAAGTATATACACCTGTCATCCAAGCTATGGCAGGATGCAGAAATAAACAAAAGGATGACAGCCCAGGCTGACCTTACCTTAAAAAAGCAGAGTGAAAAAGGGCCAGCAGCATGGTTCAAGTTGGCCTGCCTGGTAAGCACGAGGCCCTAAATTCAAACTCCAGTACCATGTTTTGTTTTGACAAGGGAAGGAAGGAAGGGAGGGAGGGAGGGAGGGAGGGAGGGAGGGAAATTTAAAATTACATGGCTGCACTAGTCTTCTTCGTAACCAACGAGGAGGGAGAGGCACTGTGGTGGTCCGGCGAAGGCTTTCAGAGCGCTCTACAACTGGGCCTAACAAACCAGGTAGGAGTGAAGCAGGAAGCAGGAGGTGCAGTTCTCTTTCCCAGACGGGGGGGGGGGGGGGAGCTGACATTGAAGTACTATTAAGCCTTTGGGGTTCCCAAAATTCCATGAACATGTCCATCAATAGCATAAGGTACAATCAGATACAAGCATTCCGGTACATTCTAGGAGAGGCCTCAGAGTCTTACAGAGGTGAATGGAAGCTCAGGAAGATAAAGAACTTGCGGAGACTCCCCGGGGGCCTGCAGTGTGGTGTGATAGACAGCTGTGGGGGCCAATGGGGTAGGGAAGTGGTCCTTTCCTCCTGCAGGATCAGCATGGAACTGAGAACACAGAAAGTCCCAGGGTGTGAGACGAGAAGGAACCCTGGGAAGTACTTCAGGAGTAGAGGGTGGGGAAGCGGCAGCACATAAAAGCAGCAGGAAGGAAAGGGTGGTCAGAAGCCCAAGTTTACTGGCAAGAACTCGGGGGTTTCTATAAAAATTACAACTCATAGCTAGTTCCCAAAGCTTGGAAATTTTCTTCTCTCTCTTTTTTTTTTTTTGGTCGGTCAAGGGGCTTGAACTCTGGGCTTGGGCACTATCCCTCAACTCTTCAGCTCAAGGCGAGCGCTCTACCACACCACTTCTAGTTTTCTAGTGGTTTATTGGAGATAAGAGTCTCATGAACTTTCCAGCCTGGCTGGCTTTGAACCGTGATCCTCAGACCTCAGCTTCTTGAGTAGCTAGGATTAAAGGTGTGAGCCACTGGCGCCCGGGTTCTTCTTCTTTTTTGGCGGGGGTCCGGTCGTGGGGCCTGAACTCTGGGCCTAGGCGCTGTCCCTCAGCTCTTCAGCTCAAGGCTAGCGAACTACCACTTGAGCCACAGTGCCACTTCCAGCTTTTTTCTTTTTGCTTATGTGGTGCTGAAGAGTCGAACCCAGGGCCTCATGCATGCAAGGCAAGCGCTCTACCACTGAGCCACCTTCCCAGCCCCCCCCCCTTTTTTAACGTGGTGTAGGTCTTGAATTCAGGACCTTGTGCTGTCCCTGAGCAATTTTGCTCAAGGCTAGCTAGCACTTTACCACTTTGCCACAGCTCCACTTCTGGTTTTATTTTTTGTTTGTTGTTTTGTGGGTTGTGGAGCTTAAACTCAGGGCCTGGCCACTGTCCTGAGATCTTTTTACTCCACTTTCGTCTTCTTGGGTTTTTAGTGGTGGTAGTGGTGGTTGTGGGGCTTGAACTCAGGGACTTGGGCACTATCCCTGAGCTTTTTGCTCAAGGCAAGCATTCTACCACTTTGAGCCGCTGGTGCTACTTTCGGTTTTCTGGGTTAACTGGAGATAAAGAGTCCTATGGACTTTCCTGCCCAGCCTGACTTTGAACCCCTGACCTTTAGATCTCAGACTCCTGAGTAGCTAGGATTAAGGGTGTGAGCCACCAGCAGTGTACACTATGTGTGAACTACTAACTTGAAGGGAGGGGTGGGTGGGGAAAGGAGAATGATGGAAGGGGTGACACTGACCAAGATGCATTGTACCTATAATCAGATCCTAGAATTGCAACCCTTTCGTTCAACTACTTGATCATAATTTTAAAAAATAAATAAAAGACACTCGGGCCAACTTGTGAGGGTGGGAAGCATGGTGTGGAAAGCGCATAGCCATTACTAATTACTGACAAACCCAACTGGACTTGAAATAGGGGGACCTTTAATCACTCGGGTTTTTTCCATTATACAAAGCTAGGGGCTAGGAAGGTGGCTCAGTGGTAGAGCGCTTGCCTTACATGCATGCGGCCCTGGGTTCGATTCCTCAGCACTACATAAGCAGAAAAAGCCAGAAGTGGTGCTGTGGCTCAAGTGGTAGAGCGCTAGCCTTGAGCTGAAGCGCTGAGGGACAGCGCCCAGGTCCAGAGTTCAGGCCCCATGACCGACCAAAAAAAAAAAAAAAAGCTACGAAGTCAACTTCTACATGTTTTCTCAACAGACTTCTGAAAGGGCTGAGCATCAAATTATGTGTAGAGATTCAAACTCAATTGTTCAGGCTACCTCATCAATAATAACATCCTTCAACGTTGACTGGGGATATCTCAACTATGTAGTTAAAAATGCCATGAAGCAACTGGAAGGAAATATGCCAAAATGTTCATTACTTCCAATTAGATTTTCCTCTATTTCCAAATCTTTGATGTGATCATGCAAGTCTGGCTTTGGGTGTCTGTACTGAGACTTGAACTCAAGGCCTTGAGCTCTCTCACTTGGCTTTTTCCCTCAAGGCTACTACAGAGCCATACCTCCATTTCTGGCTTTTTGCAGGTTAACTGGAGATAAGAGTCTCAGGGGCTTTTCTGCAACCCTCAAAAATGTCAGCCTCCTGAGTGCTAGGATTACAGGCACCTACCACCAGGCCAATCTTCATTTAAGTGTTAAATATTTAAAATATTCTGGATAATAACTATAGAGGGCTCTAGATATTCACACACATATCCCTTCAGGGGAGGGGCCCAAAAGTATAACTCCCCAAACATGTAAAATACTACTTTATCAAAACACATTCCAAGCAGGGCCACACTGGCTCACACCTATAATCCTAGCTACTCAGGAGGCTGAGATCTGAGGATCACAGTTTGAAACCAGACCGGGTAGAAAAGTCCCTGTGAGACTCTTACCTCCCAATAACCACTCAAAAGCCAGAAGTGGTGCTGTGGCTCAAAGTGGAAGGGCATAGCCTTGACTAAGAGCTCAGAGACAGTGCCGAGGCCCTGAGTTCAAACCCCAGGACCAACAAAAAATAACAATGAATTGTAGGAAATGGAAATATATTGTTGTTGTTATTTTGTTTTCCTTTTAGGGGGCAGAAATGGTGGAAGGGTGAACAAATGCAGTTATGGTACTTAATATACACTACATTAAAAAAATGAACTATGCAACTTGCGGGCAGGGACAGGAGGGGAAAACTATTGTACTCATTCCCTGACTTAAGAAATTATAACTCCCAGGCCAGGCACCGGTGGCTCATGCCTGTAATCCTAGCTACTCAGGAGGCTGAGATCTGGGGATCACGGTTCAATGCCAGCCTGAGTAGGAAAAGTGTGTGAGATTCTCATCTCCAATAAACCACTCAGAAATCTGGAAGTGGCGCTGTGGCACAAGAGCTCAAGGACAGCATCTCAAGTCCTGAGTTCAAGCCCCAGGAACAGCACAAAATAATAATATCGATGCTGGGGGCTGGTAGTATAGAAGAGTGGCACTGCACATGTTTATCATGCATAAGGCCTAGCCAAATCCCCAGCACTAAGAAAATAAAATATACAGGGATGGGAATGTGGCTTAGTGGTAGAGTACTTTCCTAGCAAGCATGAAGCCCTGGGTTCAATTCCTCAGTACCACATAAACAGAAAAAGCCAGAAGAGGTGTTGTGGCTCAAGTAGTAGAGTGCAAGCCTTGAGCAAAAGAAGCTCAGGGACAGTGCCCGGGCCCTGAGTTCAAGCCCCAGAACTGGGCGGGGGAGGGACGGACCTGTCCCATTAGGAGATATGCCTCAGGGGCCAGGAATGGAGAGAGATGAGTACAGAAGAGGCCAGGCTCCGAGAGTGGCTCTGTGGCTCAAGCTGTAGAGCGCTCACCTTGAGCAGAAGAGCCCAGGCTGAGGAAGAACCCTTTTCTGGGTTGCAAAAAAAGGAAGGAGTCTACAAGGGCAGCTGTGAAGTGAGTAAGTATGGAATCATGCAGGGACCCAACTCTGGGAAACTCTCTTTAAGAAGTGGGGAGGGAAATGAAACCCTTCTCAAGCAGGGGCAGAGAGTGTGGTGATTTCTGGCAAAGCCCTTGGCCCACAGGATCCCTGTCCCTTTGGTTCCAGAGGAACACATTCTCTAGAGCTGCCCAAGGGCCACAGAATGGCCCAGGGCCCCCTTCGGAGAAGACACACAGCTCAGGAGGCTAATCAGAGCTGCCAGAAGCTTGTGGCTGCCCCTAGTCACAAAGGACAAGCATCAGGCCCAGAAATGGGAAGTACTTGGGTTTCCTGAAACTTCAAGGTTCAATCCCAGCCAACTGACTCAGGTTTCTGTCCAGTAGAATCAGATACAGTGGCCTGCCAGGTTGGAACTCACCAGGGGCCCAAGGTGGAGGTCAGAGAAGCTGTGACTACCCCCATCC